TATACTTATCCTCTATGCTCTCTGTAGGATTCATCCACGCGGGCGGCAGCTGCTCAGGGCCTTGCGGTGTACACGCATCTTTTGCAGCTATCAGCAGACAGGTCGTTGCTGTGTCACTTTGCGGAAGTGCATGCATTCAACATGCAGAACCGCAAGCGGCATTTGAGTGCTGCTGCTGCTAAAGGCCGCGGGTCTCGGCGACGGGAGATGCAGCACCGGCACAAAGCCGCCACATTTGCTTTCCGAGAAGTCAAGCAGCTCCTGACGCTGCTGAACTCCCTCATGGCCTCAATTCAGCAGCAGCAGCAATCTTCAACAGACGGATGCCAAACACCTGTACCAGCTAAAATTGTTATACAGGTAGGCTGAGTGGATATCTCATATCCCGGCGGCTTGTTGCTTGTGGCGCTGGGGGGACTTCAGCTGGGTTGGGGTGTGCTGTGTTGCTGTTTTGTGTGTGCAGGCTGTCTCTCCCGTTGTATGCAGTTTTGCTGCTGCTGCACTGCCGTTCCTCTTCCTGCCAGACCTTCCGCTGTACCCCGTGTTAAACTTTGCGCTGCTAAAGCATCCAGCGGTCTCCGTGTTGTTGCAGGAGCCGTGCATGCCCTTGACTTTAGCGGCCTTGCGACAGCCGCTGCTGGGGTCGGAGGGTCTCTTTTCTCGCTTGCTGCTGTCTCCTTCAGCTGCAACCTCGGCAGAGCAGAAGAGATTTTTGCTGGTAGTGCTGAAGAGGGCCATGGCGGTGTCGCACTGTCTCGCCGATGGCTCCGTAGCAGTCAGTAGCCGCCTCCTGCAGGCCCACAGAATACCTCAGCCTGTATTGCCCCCTCCAGCGTTGCTTGCGCTATCCACCTTGCCGGTACTGGGGGATTTAATCCACAAGACGTCTCTGGGTCGCAGTGTTCTGGAGGCGCTCTTGCTCTCAACAGCAGCCCCAGCCTGCCTCACAGCGTGCACATGGTGGGCTCCGCATGCAGCCTTCTCCCTGACAGCCGCTCAAGCGCAGGTCTGTAGTCTCAGGGCAGCAAAGGAGAGCTCCGCAGATATCCATACAGCGGCGAACGTCCAAGTCCCGCTAGCCACAGTCAACGCCCAGCACCTGCTGCAGCGCTTCGGTGTCTT